ATCAATTAGAGGGTTTTCGAAAGTCAAAACAGCCATTTTTATGAATTTCTAATATTCACCTTAATTCTACAATTTAAGGTTGCAACCTATTTCAACTTTTTCATTTCTTAGAAACCTTATCTATTAACACGCAAATACGAGTCATTCCTCTTTTTCTCTTTCAATCTTGGATGTCCAGCATATACCATCCTATATGTCGGTAGGCTTATAAAATCAGCTGTCATGTTTATAATCTATCACATGTCTTTATCCATATAAGGAAAATGGTTTGATAGGGCTGCGGCCCTATCAAAATAAATAAAGCCTCACCTCATAACTCATTGAAAAATTGCAATTTAAGTATTGGAAAACCATTACATGGGTCATTTCGGCTAAAACATTTTGGTTGTGGAAAAAGTTTAGGATTGCAAGCTTTAAAAATAGTGTATATTGTAACAAATTATCTAGACCATCCATTTCGCCCTAAAAATTAGTGTTCATAGATCTTCAAGAGCTGTACCATTTTTGAGTTTCAAATTTCATTGTTGTTGTTGGAAATTGATTTTGGAACCATCATGAACATTTTTTCATTACCGAAATTGTTTTATGGAGGAGGATTTGAGGTGAGGCTTTATTTTGTTTTCATAAAGCCCCGGCCTTGTAGAAACCTAATCCTTTATATAAAGGGTGCAGTTTGTATAGTACCTAAGCTCTAAACAATCACATTAAAGCCTACCTTGAAATAGTGTCGACAGATGTGGTTTCAATACTGAAAATCTTTGTAATAACTTTAAAATATATTTTCATCTTTATTTATAAAGTTTAAAGCTTAAAAAATAGTGTAAATCGACCGATCTACGGAAATTTGAAATTCTTAAAAATTGACAGTCCAGAAATGCATTACAAAATACACTATTTCCAAAACTTGAAATCTATTTTTTTCTCATGTCCATATATCTTTATGTCGAGATGATCAATTTGAAGATATTTGAGCATCAAAACAACATCTTCTAATAAAATTTTTGTAGTAAGCTCTAATTTGATTGTTTAGAGCCTCAGCTCTATATAAACTTTTCCCTTATGTAAAATGCATGTGATGAATGATGGACCACAATAATGCAGCTTTGACATGATCGTTTAAAGGAAAAGACAATCCACTAGACGAAAAAAAGTTGTTCTGGCTTTACATATTTTACTTTAAGGTTTTCTGATTTTTTACCATTGAGTCCATCAAAAGCATCTTTATTTTCATTGAATTTACTGTAGTAAAAGAACCCCACCTATTTTGCTATATAAACTCTCTTCTCCTCCTGTGTTCAATCAGAGTTCTTTGGAGCTTCATTCTGTGCTTCAATGGCGATCCGAAAGCCAGTTCTCTGTGTTATTTTCTTGCTCTCTCTGCTCCTTGTCTTCTCAGGTTCATCTCTCTCCATCATGGTCTTTAATTTCTAGTGTTTGCTTTTTTTCCTACTCATATACTGGGAAAAGTTTATATAGAGCCAAGGCTCTACTTGATCAAATTAGAACCTACCTCAAAAATTTCACTAGTAGAGGTTGTTTTGATGCTTAAATATCTTCATATTGATCATCTCATCATCAAGATGCATGAACATGAGAAAAAAATAGATTTCAAGTTTTGGAAATAGTGCATCTTGTATTACATTTTTAGACCAGTAATTTTCAAGATTTTCAAGTTTTCATAGATATGCTCGATTTACACAAAGCTTTAAATCTTATAATTAGAGATGGAAATATATTTTCAGACTATCACAAAGATTTTCAATATTGAGACTACATTTCTCGGCACTATTTGAAGGTAGGCTCTACTTTGATTGTTTAGGGCCTCTATACAAATCATACCTTTCAAAGAAAGGGTCCCATGATTCGAAAGATGAGCTTGGAAAACCAACTAATTTTTTATAGGGCAGTGATTTCATGCAACGGTTGTATACTAGTATAATGCCACGACACTTCTAGAAAATTATGTTTGTGGTATTTGTATGACTCAAAATTTTACATACACACTCTCTTTATCTCAATAATCAATCCCAATTTGCATACACACTTTCTTTATCTTAATAATTAATCTAAAAAAAAAAAAAAAGTTCAATTTGAACCCTAGATATGGTCAAAATGAGACCCCTCTAAAAATGAATCTAGATCATTCATTTGGTGAATTTCAAGATCTTAGCCTTTATAAACTCAAAAACATTTTTTTTTTATTTTTTAACATGGTCCATTTAATGATAATAAAACCATCCAAAAAAATTGAAAGTGAAAATATATTTTTAAGGCCTAAATCTAAGCATTTCACCAAAATGAACGGCCTATATTAATTGGGTTAAAAAAATACTTTCTAGGTTATAGTTTCAATTTTTTTTTTTGTGATTGTTCATTGGAATGAAAAGAGTGTATATTTCGAAATTTGAATTAAACAAATAGCAATACCATAATTTTTGAAGATTGTTGCATCATGTTACTATACAACCATGAAGTCATTGCCCTTTTTTGTATATTAGAGGTTAAAAAATGAACGATATGCATGGTTTTTCTCAGTAAAACGTCAAATTTTTTGTAGAGTTCAGCAAACAACCCCCGTCCATATGATCCCCTGGCCTCTACTGCTCTCTCTCTCTCTCTCTCATATAAAAACACCAATCATGGATATTGTGATAACACAAGTAGCATGGACGTAGGTGCCCTTATATATTGACACGATACTTATATTTTCTACATTAGAAATTTAGACATTTCTTAACCATTCTTGTTGAAATCTCATTGTGAAAGTGCTAATGTCACTCGAAATCCCACTTCCCTCCTTTAAAAGGTGTTTAAGTGTTGTTGATATTAAAAGAGAAAATTATAAATACCCAAATGAACTTTGTAGATGTCCTCACACAATAGACTCAAATACTGCTTTCTTTGTATTTACTACTAGTCAAAAGTACAAAATAGTGAGATTAAATTGCTTTTTTACTTTCGCACTCTCTCTCTTTCTCTCCACCCACCCTATCTTGCACTCTCTACTAGCCCTTTCTCTCGCTCTCTCAATCTCTTCTTACTCCCTCTCTTTACCTACTTTCTCTCTCTACCCGCAATCTCTCTCTCTCTTTCTACTTCCCCAGATACCCATTAAAGAAAGGGAAATAAGAGGTAATGGGCCCAAAAGAAGGTTTTCAGGAGAGATGGCCATTTTAAAAAGGGGGAATAAAAACAGGTTTTGTAAGCAAAGATAAAGAGGGGCGTCGGATAATCTCTTTGTGTTGGATTCCACAAGTATGGTAAAGATAAAAGAAGAGAGTGAGAGATGAAAATAGGTATAGATGTGAGACAGTGGACTTTATAATGGAACTACGAAAGTACAATAGAGAGAGAGGGCGGGTAGAGAGAGAAAGAGAGAAAGTGGGTAGAGAGAGAGGGAATTAGAAAGAATGAGCAGGTAAAGAGAGAAAGAGAGAGGCAATTTAGTCTCAATTTTTTTTACTGGATTAAATACATGAAAAAACAGTCTTTGGGTCTATTGTGTGATACTAAAAATATTGGGAAAGGATGTCTACATAGTTTATTTTGGGAGTATTTATAAATTTCCCATATTAAAATTGGTATTTTTGACATTTGTATAAAATCGGTGATAATACGGTTTCATAAAAGGCTAGCTACTCTAATGTATAAATTCTAACAAGGATTTCAAGACTTCATAAATATGTACTTTGGGTTCTTGGGGAAGATCAAGGGTGTGGTGGTCGTTGTTCATGTTACATCAGAAGATAGATCACTATTATCACCATGCTCCGGCATGGGAGCATGCTATGCGGACTCTTTTCGTGTTTCCATTTGCTACAGCTACAACGGCCCTACTACTATTACTGTAACATTACGAAATTATTTGGCTCTTTTTATTGTTATGCACCATCACACCTAAGAAAAACATTTATAAGAAGCTCGAGGAAGAAAGAGAAAATGAATGTGTTGGTGCAGAGATGGGGAAGGTGGTGGAGGGGAGATTATGCGAGTCTCAGAGCCAGAAGTTCAAGGGGCCGTGCTTCAGCGGAAGCAATTGCGGCAATGTCTGCAGGACAGAGGGCTTCCCTGGGGGCCGTTGCCGACACTTCCCTAGACGCTGCTTCTGCGTCAAGCATTGCTGATCTCTGTCTCTCTCTCTTCATGGTGTGGTGTGTGGTGTTTAAGTAATAAATGAGAAATGAAGGCTTGTGTATTAGCCTTTGTGGTGCATAAAAAGTGGGTGGGAATCTTGTTGTTAAGGTTTGAATTTAGGTTTTCTGAGAGTGGGGTTCTTGATTGTTAAGCTTTATGGATCTTCTTGTGGGGAGTTTTGGTTTATAACGACTCTCGCTCTCAATACTTCTGGTTATCTCATATTGTCAAAGCCTAGGTTTAGTGATTTTCTTTTGGCTAGATGTTGAGTACATAGAGAAGGGAAATAAATTTGTACGGCTGCAGCTTTATAAAGTGGATGCAGTTTTTACAAGGCCTAGGCTTTAGGAAAACAATGTAAAGCCTCACTTCAAATCCTCATCAATATAGCATTTTGGGAATAGTAATCTTCATGGTCGCTCTAAAATCAGTTTCTAACGCCAATTATGAAATTTGAAGCTCAAAAAATAATATAGATCTTGAGGATATGTTAACACCCATTTTTAGAGCGAAAATACTCTTCATAAGATTACATTGGAACCATCCAATTTTTGGAGGGAATGATCTAGTTGTTCAAGAACTTAAAATCCAATTTTTTTCTTTTTTGAAAATAATCATCTAGTTGTAACTAGATGGATCCCTAAACTTTCAAAGAGAAAAAAAAAAAAATCTCCCAGGTGTTTTACCTGTATGCTCCCTTAGAGAGTATAGTATATTTCCTCCATATACATTTTTCTCCAATTTAAAGGTTTTTAAAAAAATCTCCCAAGCAAGTGTCATCATTTTTCTCCAATTTAAAAGTTTTGCACAAATATTTAAGGAATAATCCTGTTTTGTTTTTTTTGTTTTTGTAAGTAGAAGGTTTACCTTTGTTCCACGATTTGGAAAGCAATGCTCATACAATAACCCACTTCTTAGTTTTGGCCAGGGTTTTAGAAAACTCTTAATTGAGCAGATTGGTCCTCAGTAAGATGGGCAATTACTTATTAGGAAGTTCACATCGATCCAGCTGAAAAAAGAAAAAAAAAACAAAAGAAAGAAAAAGAAAATAAGACAATATTTGCTTTTATATTTATACCAATTGAAATCATTTTTTGGATTTAAATAATTTAAATCAATTGTTTTAAGATTTATATTAATTTATAAATTATTTTAATAATTTAAATTAAGTTTAATTTATAATTTCCAGATTTAAAATGGTTTAATTGTTTAAAATAAAATAAGTAATTCAAATAAATACATATTTAAACAATGTTTGTTTGAGTTTAATTGATTCAAATTTTCAAAAAAAAAATATGAGAAAACGAGACATGACCGTGAAAATACGAAATATTGCATATCGTTTTTAAATTCCTCAAATTATAGAGGATGTTTATGAAAATCTCCCAAAAAAGAACTATTTCCCTGGATTAAGGAGAGTAATTTATGTGAGGTCCTATGAGAAAGAGAGCAAGATTTTGGAGGAAAACGATGGGTTTACAAATTTGTATTCTTTTCATATCCCTTTTATCACTTTCTTTGAGGCAGTGTTTTAAAAAGTTTCGATCTAACTAGTTCTTACATATGTTTTGTGTTTTAAAAACAAAAGCGAAAGCTCGTGGGGACTCGGCAAAATCATAATTATAAGATCAGACAAGTACACCCGGTTCGACTAGTCTTTAATAGGTCCAATTTAAAGCAAAAATTTGGTAGGGGTGAAATCTAAAAATTTAGTGTTTTATCGATTTTGGCTAGTGGGACTATTCAATTTTGACCTATTAAACTGACAAAACATTCCCGCACCAAAATTTGGGGCCACCTACCCACCAATTTTGGGCCAACTTACGAAAACACTAATTTGGGTTAAGGTAACAAGACGTGCATCACTAAATTCTCATTTATTTTGACTCCCTCTTAATTATCTTTCTCCTTAATTTGCAGAGAATATGTCAAGGTAGGAAGAAAAGTGCGAACAATTGCCTTATTTTAATACAAAATTCATGTAATAGGGTTTTTCTCTTCCCTCTTTGTTCTTAAAAAGAGGAAAAACTCACTTAGAAAAATTATTTCCTTGGGTTGTGGCTTTATACAACTCCATCTTAAATCTATCTGGAAAATGCAATTTTGTATCGAAGATTGTGAATTTGAAATTTAAATGATTTGAAGTTCTAAAAATGATATACTCTTTCTTGAGTTTTAAATTCCGATAAGAAATGATTTTAGAGGCAAGCATAATATTTTGGATGTCAAATTAGATACTTTTTATTCTTATGTCAAATTAGATACTTTTTGTTCTTAGGCTTTTTTGGGTTTTAAATTCCGATAAGAAATGGTTTTAGAGGCAAGCATAATATTTTGGATGTCAAATTAGATACCTTTTTATTCTCAGGTGTAGCCTCAGCCTTAGCAAAACCTAATCCATCATCATCCTTTAGGATGGTTCTTCTTTGCACATATTGGGGGGCAATTAGATTGCTATCAATAATATTGGGATTTTGATAGAAATAGAGGAGCATAAATTTCAACTCGGCTTCCCAACCTAACCCACTTTTTTTTTTTTGGGTAAATTAATGGACGATAAGACCCTTATCCGTTTTCATTAATAAAATTAGAGAAAATATAGATCATATCTTTACAACCCTACAATGGGGCACTGGTGCCGAATCATGAAGTAAATAAACATAAATAAAATCCAGCGGTCTAAAATGCCAAACATTAGCATTTGAAAAAGATGTGGCCTTTTTGGCAAGTATATCTACTACCATGTTGGCCTCGTGATAAATGTGGAAAACAGTCCACCTACAATATAAAAAGTTATGTCGGCAATGGTTGCTACTATATGGAGTGTCCATGGAGCTCTACACTATCTTGAATGACATTGGCGAGCAGCAATGAATTACATTCAATTTGAAGTTTGATGCGATACCAAAAGATGCGGCAAAAGTAGCAATAAATGCATCATTGCCGTATCTGATAACACCACCACCACTCGCTAGTCTCGGGTTTTGAAACATAACCTAACTCACTTATAATCGGCAAAACTACCATTTCCCTCATATATTTTGTTTTATAGGTCATTATCCTAATTGGAAAGCATATAAAGAGATTATTTACTTTTAATACAAAGAGGTGACAAACACTTTTGTTTATCAAATTTCAAATTGGGTCGCTGTGAGTGTGTCATTGATTGGACTTAAAGTTTAAAATTTTTTTTTCAAATTTTGTAACATACCCCAAATCATGCAATTTGAAATCCAACGACTAGGAATAATTGTAACCTCCTTGTAGCAAAAATAGATAATCTCATAATATCAATTACTATATTCAAAGTTTCATTAACATTGTTGAATGATATTTTTGTTTCTTATTCAAATTTTCATTTTAAATATATACTACAATTAAATAAAGGGAGATTTAGCTAAATATTATGAGAGATGAACTATTCAATATTATATATGTATCATTTGATTTAATTTCAAAATATCCATTAAGAAATTGTTGCAAAGGAGTAAAATATTAAATAATTCAAAATTTATCAATAATTTGACAAATATACTTTAAATAATATTTGAATAACCTTTTTAGAAGTTATTTGGAACTTACTTTATTCAAATTTCAACCTAAAAAGCACTAGATTTCAATTTCGTTCATCTTCATTTAACGCTCTTTCCAAACAAGGAACCAATGAACCCATATTCTTTTTTTTTTAAATATTTGGAAAAAGTTTAAAAGGTGCGGCTCTTAAAATAACTTATAAGGCGAACCGCATAAATTCACTAGAAAAAGTTATTTAAGTGTTAAAAAATTCTCAAATCCGATCTAGTACATCTTATAATGCATTATACAGACCGTCTATTTTTAAGATTTTCATGTTTTTATAGATGGGCTTGATTGGTACAATTTTTTTAGCTTTGAATATTATAACTAGAGATTGAAAATAATTTTTTAGGCAATCACGAAGATTTTCGATACTGAAACGAGAAGATGCGCCTCACTTTGATTGTTTGGGCCTCAGCCTTGTACAAACCACCCCAAGCTCCATATTCATCATTTAAGTCATACCTATTTGAGTTTTTATGAGACAGTGAACTTCATTTGTTTGATTAGTAAAAATTAAGCACTAATTTGGAAACCTACTCTTTGCTTTTATTCTTCAAAAACCTATTCTTGCAGTGTTTCTTCTCCATTTATTTCCTCTCTCTTTCCTCTGTGCTAGCCATGAACCCATCCGATTTCTTCACTTTCCAAAACCCTAATTCTATTCCCAACGTCACCTGCAATTTCGCTCCTCTTGGTCTCACTTTTCAGAACCCAACCATTCCTCCTCCTCCTCCTTCTCCTCTTCCATTAAATCTGAACCAGGCCATCGAAACCCTAAAGAGCTCCATCTCCAACGCAAAAGATGCCCTAAAACGAGTTTCGGGGTTCCTCAACTTAGACCAAACCCTAATTCGTCATGAGCTTTCGACGTGCCCTTTTAATTCAAACCATCGTATGCCTTCTCAGCGTCTCTTTCGCCATTCTCTCACCTGCAATTCGTCTCCTGGTGCCCTAGGCGTAGACAATCTCGGCAATCTGAAATACCCGAATTCTCTGAAATCGGAGAAAGAATTAAAATCTGAAGTTCAGTTGTTTCATGAAATTCATGGTGTTGAATCTGACTTGTGCTTTTCTTTGGACGATGGTGGTGGTTTCAGTGCAAATTTCTTTTACAGGGATTGCCCTGGTGTGGTAAGCTCTTCTGAACCAGAAACCAAGAAGACTTTTACTCTTCCTTCTATTTTGTCCAGAGAATGTGTTAATTTAGCTGGAAATTGTGATTTCAAGCCCCATGGTGAGTTTCCATGGCTTCTTCCTTCTGAACTCTGGTATATGAGAAAGGAATCAGGGGGTTGGAACGATTATCCTCTCTGTTATTCTTATGCTTCTCTTAAGGTCTCTTCTTGCTTGTCAATGGTTTCTAAGCCTGAAATGGTGAAATGGGTACTTAAGAATTCACCTTTTTATGGTTCTGTGATTGATAATCCAATGGGCGAGCACATATTTCTGCTGTTGAAACTTTGCTTTAAAGCCATTTCTAGAGAGGCTTCTTCTTCCCTAGAGCTTCATCAGAACAGGGATGAGAGGGATAAGGGTTTTGATATAAAAACTCTGAGTTTCAAATGTCCAGTTCTTGCAGAAAGCTTATCATGGCTGGGTTCTCACCTATCAGTCTTGTATGGCCATAACAATGGCAAGGTATTTGCTATCCATGTACTTAAAGAGAGTTTATTCATTATGGGTTCTCGGTTAGTACTCTTCCCACTGGGCAATCCATCGATAAACAGCAATAAGGAACTAGAAACTAAGGGTTCAAAAAAGGAAACTGATGTTGTGGGCGTAAGTGGTAGTGATTTGGATTTGAAAGATGGTTATTTGGTAGAAAAACAGGGTTCTGAACTACAAGAAATTATTGGGAAAAAAAATGATGCCAACTCGGGTATGAATTCTGATGAAGATTTGATTGGGCAAAGAGTCTTTGTATCACAAATAGCAGCAGCCATTGCAGCTTTGCATGAACGATCTTTCTTAGAGGAGAAAATCAAAGCGCTGCGCCTATCGGGACCACTTTCAAAATCTCAGCTGTGAGTTCCTATGAAGCTAATTGTTTCTTTATTCTTCACTTTTGTTTCTCATTTTCATAGGCGTTGCTGAAAGTTGAATAATTGTTTATTTATTTCATCAGTTTTTTATTGCAAAATTTGAAGGCTTAAGATTATGATTAATTCATTGTTTCTTAGTCAATGCATGATTCTTTTGCTAAATCTTAGAATGTGAATCTCATTTGAGTTACTCTGTGCTGTATTAGACTTGTTGTAAAAGTTTTGAATCCTTAATTATGTATATTTGTCTTGGTGCAGTAAGCTTCTCATTTTGTGTTTTACAGCTGCAACTCAAATGATGGTTATAGTTGTACTCCTCAGGCAGTAGATCCATTGAAGTGATTATTCATTAGGTTGCACTTTATATTAAGTAACATATATATGTGTTTTGTATAAGCACTGTTATGGTATAGAACTGTTCTTATGTCCCAGAAGTAAAGGTGGAGTTTTTTATACCAATAATACTTCATCCAAATTTATACTTGATATGATTTCTGGCTGTCGTCTGTTTTTATCTTTGCTCTCTCTGCTTTTTCTGTGAATTTGTTTCATTCTTTCCCTGAATCCCTTCCACAGTAGGTCTAACTTATTTAGTTAGGCTTCATGGCCTTTCTATAGATCTTATTTTTTCTAACTTATTTAATTATGTCTGATGAACTTTTATAGGATTTCCGAGCATGATCAAGTGTCAAGGATGGCCAATGAGGAACGGCAAAACCGGCCTGATTACAGAGCTGTTCTTGAGCATGATGGGCTCCTATGGCAGCGATCACGCCATCCGGTTGGCTTTGTCTGCTTTAAAAGTTTTTTTTTTTAGCATTTTCTATTTTACTTGTATTGTATCGCTGCATGTGAGCCAAAAGCCTTAGAGGATGCAATGGATTTATTTGTATGTGTTTGTATATGAGATTTGGTTCCAGAAGGGGTTAAAGGTTAAAGGTGTTTTTGGGAGTGAATCTGTTGTCTTAAGCCCTTTGCTGAATAGGCTTTTATCGTGAAAACAGTGTTTTAGAACCTGGAATTGCTCTGTTACTCACTGGCTGCTTGGAGCCCAATGAGTGAGTCCTCAGTGGGCTCACCATTTCTTGCCTGACTCAGGTAAGTTGGCTTGGTAAAAAATTTGAAAAAGTGGGAAAATTCAGGATATTTTGTAAAAATAGAAAAATAAAAAATGACAAATCCTGAAAATTAAGGAAACCTATATGAAAAGTAAAAAGTATGAAAATTGAATTCATAGGCAATTTGGCATATCATGTCACCTATATTCTGTTGCCTTGTTATTTTTTTATGGGAAAGCTTTCTATGTTCCCCCTACAACATAGAAGTTCTATTCTCCCCCTACCATCCAGCCGTCATTTTTTATCAAGAGAGCCACTCACAGTTTGATCTTAGATCAGACGTCTCAAAGTATTTTATTTTTTGTTTTTTTAATACAATTTTTCTGAATATGAAATTTGGTACGTGCCATTTTCTCATTGGGGCGCACCTATAAAAAATATTAATAATAATTTTTCGATAAAATATAATGACCAAAATACCCCTTGAAACTTTCAGGGGTATTTTGGTCATTTTATTTTATTGAAAATATTTTTTTATACTTTTTGTTAGTGTGAGTTTAATAGAGGAATGTACGTCCAAAATTTGGTGTCAAAATAGTTTGTAGAAAAAAAATTAAAAATAAAACAGTATAGAGATGTGACATTGTGATTGGGGCAAACTTAGCCCCCCATTAAGAAATGGACGGTTGGATAAGGGGGAGGATAGAACTTCTATGTTGTAGGGGGAACATAGAAAGCTTTCCCTTTTGTTATTGGGCATTTTATCAGAAAGAACCCAAGACATGAGTTATTTAACATCCCACCCGTTTTTTTATTTTTATTTTTTATTTTTTATTTTTTTATTTTGTAATTTAGTTTCAAAAATCCCAGATTTAATTTAAGAAATTATTTCAAAGGACACTAATCATGAGCTGAAGTTTCTAGGTAGGCCAGTTTCCAATCTTCCCTTCCTTCAAGAATTGCACTCGCTCTTGACGCTCTATTTTTTTATAATCTGAAAAAATTGGTATGCACCTGCAGGAATCCATCAACAAATTGTACTTTTGCTCCCTTGCATAAAGCCCCAGCTAGGGTATTTTTAGGACCTCAAATTCTGGGGATGTAACATATTAACTTAGACATGCACTTCGAAACTTCTTTGAAAAGTCAAACCTTGGGATAGGGGTGGTTATGAGGAAGTTTCTCCCATACCTTAAAAAGAACATATTTTTTTGGGTACCTAAACACATAGATGTAGACTGTCTGTGCAATTGTGGGGCATAAACTTTTTCATGAAGTCCCAGAGTGTGTGCTGAAGTTTCTTTTCTTTCCTAAGTCGGTTGCTCGGTTGAGCAGGTCACGTCTCCAAAATTTGGGACCCTTATAGTCCTAGCTAAGATTTTTCCTAATGTAGCAAATGTACATTTTCTTCCCATGGGATTATACTAATCTTTTATTGAGGTAAAAGCCTTAGGTCCTTGCTAGTTAAGTGGGTTTCTTAAAAAACCACCAAACTTTGGAAGGAGGGGTTAAATTGGAAAGTGTCCCTCCTGTAAATTCTTACTCATGTTTGGTGTCCTTTGATGGAATTTCTGGAGCTAAATATGGGCTTGTTGAAATTACTTTTTAAAAAGTGGATGAGATTCGTTGTTTTTGATAAATTTCCTTTTCTAATTTTAGTGAAAGCCCCTTTAACAAAGGAAGAGGTTATTATTAATATAAAACTTCTACCAACCACTAATATGTTGCTGTTCAGCATACCCTGGCTACTAGCATATGGGAGGTCTCCTGTCCTCTTTGTGGGACTCTCACTTTTGTTAGTCTTTCTGGGCTTCACAGCTTAGAAAGTCAGAATGTTCTGAAATTATCCGAACATCTCTGAATATTTTTATTCATCCATTTAATATGACATGTCACAGATGAGCTAAGTTATTTTGATATTTGTCTTGATGAGAACTCTAAGTATGCTGATGTTGCGTAATAAAGTTAATTTCTGATAATATATCAGTGTTGATTTCCTAAGTTCTTTAAATTTTGTTGTTCTATTTTTGTAGGATATGAATAAGAACAAGACCAGGGAGGAATTGTTGGCTGAAGAAAGAGATTATAAGCGGCGGAGGATGTCTTATCGTGGCAAGAAGGTTAAACGAACACCAATCCAGGTCTTTTACTTACCCTAAAATATGAAAAAATTGACTTTTGTTTGTGAAAATCAATTTAATATTCTGAAGTCGAACCCATTAAGGATTATCCAAAATTTGAATTTGGAGAGATCTCATGGGGATTACGGCTATTACTTCCCAGCCTTTTTGAGAAATAAGATGGTAATTGTATTCTTATGTGAAGGTCTTACATGATATAATTGAGGGACATATGGAGGAGATCGAGTGTGCAGGGGGTATAGGTTGCTTCGTGAAAGGATCTGAGAAGCCCACATCACTTTCTTCAGGATCAATTGCAAATAATGTTATTTCAGAAGATCATCATGAGTCACAAAGCCATACATATTCCTCAGGAGAAACCATCAGACCCCATAATCAGAGGAAATTATTTATTGGTAGCTCCAATGTATCCTCAACTCGATCCAATGGTGTGTCTATCAAGGACCAATCTGGCATGAGCAGTGGACTTGGCAGTCGTTCTAATTATCCCAGAGATGGTGACCAGTGGCATGGCGATGAACACTACACAAAGCATGAGTCACAGGAGGATCGAAAGAGAAGGGCTTACAGGGAAGAAGAAAAATACAGTAGTTACAGGTCTAGAAGTCCATCTCTTCATACAACTGAGCAACATTGGAAGAGTGGGAAAGAAGACCGTTGGGGAGATGAGAGAGAAAGATATGACAGAGCAGACTCCAGAACATCGGATAGGGATAAGTATCAGAATGGCAGGTCATCCTCTTATGCGTCGAGATCCAGGAAGCTCTCTGATGGCTCTGCTCATAGGTCAGAGAGAGAAGATAGGCATGGAAGAACGTACCACATAAGTTTTTCAGAGAATAATTTTGATGATAGGTATGATCCTTCTGGATCACATGGAATGTATGACGAGGCCTGCAATAATGCATCCTCTAGCAGTAAGTATGAAAGAGGAGATAGGTGGTCCAACAACTAAAACATTTTTGGATCTTAAATTTTTAATTATGAGCTTCAAGGAAATGGGCTTGCCACCAAATGCCTGCACTTAAGAATTCAGAGATTCATGTAAGAGTAAGCTTCCCATTCTTTCTTGTTACATTTGCCTTTGCTTCAACAGAAATATTGTGTTTTGTTTTGAATTCTTTCATTGACTTTCTTTGGTAATATGTGTGCAGTATTCAGACTCCAAGATATATATGCTCATCTGTATCCTCCCATGTATCCTTAAAATTAAATTACAAAAAACTTGTTATATTATTTTTGGAAATATTCATGCAGCATGAACTTATTTTACTTAAGTTTCATTGCTCTAATATTTCTCCCTCAGTTATTATTTCTGTTCTAGTCATATGGTGGATATATTACAGTACTGTTGTTATTGTAGTTGAATTACAGTCACTTCTTAGATGTGGCTACTCACCAGGAAAATAAAAGTTGTGGTGTCCTCCAAATTATGTTCTTTAAGTCATTTCATTGATTATCTTGATTTTATCCATGGACACATCCATCAAAGGAAATCACTTAAAAACAGGCTGGTGAGTGACTAGTTTGGCATTTTCCTCTGTGAACTTTCCATAAAGGTAAAAGACAAGGGAGCCTTCTCTCTGAATGGATTTCTAGGGACTGAATATAATGATGTCAAAACAGATTAGAAGGACAATGAATATGTGCCTTATATGTCTGTCAACATGCATAGAAAAGTTGGGTATCTACAATTGGACATCATGATATTGAAGATGTTCTTGTCATGGTAAATAACTGCTATCTATTTATTTTCAATTGGTAATGGCTGCTACTGTGTTAAGTATGGGCTCGAAGTAAAATGCATTGACAAAACTAAATGAGCACATGAATCATATACCCGTTTGTCTTTTGCCACTAGTGTGCATTTTATACTAGGTTGAGCTCTAAGACTGGTCTCTGGGGAAAATGAATTAGTGAACACTTCAGAGGATTTCATTCCCTTTGATCCGATAACCTTTGCCATTAACATCCTTTACAATGAGTTCTTTTGATCTCATATGTTGCGGCGGCTGCTCTCCAGGGGAGTCAGTCAGGAGGTTTTGGTTTCTGTTCAATTTTTTTTTTGCAGAGATATGTGATTTCTGAAGCAACATTATTCATACTACATTGCAATTGATATTGTATGTTTGATGAACATTATTCCAACTTGTAAACTTACCGCTTCCTTTTTCTCATAATGTGCGTTCATCTAGTGTATCCTCCTGCCAGACTTCTTCCAACAATATATACATTTATAAGTTTTTGAGTCCCTTCTTGTCTTAGAGTTGATTAGAATTTATTCCAAGTAGTGTCTGCTTTCCCTTGAGGAGTAGTGCCGGTAGGCAGAAGGTTGTTTGTAGCACTGGTCTTACTTGTAGAGTGATACATCAACGAAGGTTGTCATAATGGGGGTTTGTGGGATGAGAGAAGTTCATGGTTTGGCGCATTTTTTTTCTTTTTTTTTTTGTTTCTCTAACCTTGTTTGGTGTTAAAAAGATGTTTGAGACTCGAGTGTTAGTGAGATGTGATATGCTTCATGGTTGTCTTGCTATATCTATCTTTCATATTTTATTTTTTTGATATGAATCTATTAAGCATCTTGCCAACGTGAAGGGTCCTAGGCAATCATGCAAAATACTACCAAGAATTTTTCGTGGAAACTTTAAATATGTTTTTGGGTCATTAAAGAGGGCTTCCCTGATTATCAATACTGTGCAGGTATTGGACGTTTTTCCTTTTCTCCTTTTTGTTACTTCTTCCATTGTTTCTACGGAGTGTCTTCCAAATTACAAGTTTTTGGGAAAATATATTGCTACCAAGGAACTAGATAGAAACTTGGTAACTTTGCTGTTTCTCTTGTAAATATATTTTGGAATAGACGTTTGGGACACGGAAAGAGTGGCAAATAAAGCTCCCCTATAATGGAGGTTTGGTTAACGACAACGGATGCTTAAAGGTTTAATGATACCTAGCATTGAGGGTGGTTTTCTCATCAACATGTGTTTCTTGTGCAGGGAGAGAGCTCATCTAGTTGATATTCAATTATGGTGTGGTTATTAGTCTTCTAGGCCATGGGAGCTTATTGTTTACCTCAATCATAGATGTTTGATAATGCTTGAGTTCTTTCCTATTGCAGGTTTGGATTTTGGTACAATGCAGCGAAAGGGGTTATATCCGTTTTGGGAAAGAAGGTGTGATGCCATCTTCAGATCTCAAAGCATGGAGAAGCAAGAGTTTTTTGAGATTGTCAGTTGATGTTTTGTGATTTCTCCCTAGAGAAGGGCGCCACAGAGGAGGTAAAATTTGTGGATTTAACTGCTATACAATATCTTCATGAGATTACTTTGAATTACAAATTTATTTCATTTACAATTTGGAAGAAAATAAATCTATAAAAATGATATGCATGTGATATATAATTATATATAATGAGAGAAGTTTCTAAATTTATAGATGAAGCCTAGAGAAAGTCGGCATTTTTCTCTCTTCGTTTTCTATTTCTTTAAAGAATTTCTTGTTTTAATAAATTCCATTTTATAACAGGGACTGTATACCTATTTATTTTTGGTGCAAGACGGTTACAATAACTTTTAGTCGTTGGATATGAAATCCAATCGATGAAAGTGTGTTGCAACATTCGAGAAATTTTATTTTAGATTTTGTTCCCAAACGACACATCTTCAACTACCTGATTTTAAGTTTAATGGTCTGATGATTGTGACCTCGATGTATCATAAGTAAATGGTCTCATTATATACATTTCTTTTATAAAACTATGTGATTTCTTGAGCAAGCTGAAATTTTTGGAAATCTCCAATGATTCGGCATCATAAATTTTTTTTGCAAAGATCGAACTTTGTGACATTAATTGCCTTGAAGTTTAATTTTGATGGAAGCTCAAATTGGGACTCTTGTCCATCTAGTCTTCTGTTATGCCATTTGCGGTGATGATGATCAAGTTTTAGAATGTGGGGCCAGTCCTGTTGGAATGCAAGGCTATAACACAAACCCTTGGTGGTTCCAGTTTTCGTTTGGTATGTTTTTTGAAACATGGTTTCTGGGGTTGGAACCCTGTAACTCCCCTACACAAAGCTCTATAATTGTTATTAATTTTATAGGAAAAGTGTTTTATTTGTCGGCGGCACAATGCTCCATTGGCTTCCGCCATTGCATCAAACATCCATGCGTAAATTGGTGATCCCTTCAAAAAGAATAAAATTTCAAGGGTCTAAAAATTTTCTTTAAAAAATTATCATTTCTATTTTATTTATTTATTTTACCTATTAATAATCTCTACATTAGAGATTAGTATATTCCTAAAAAAATTAGATCCAAAATCCATCTAAAAAATAGATCAATGAAGAGGAGATGCATATCTACATATAAAAACTGTGTCCAATTTTATATACGTCTTCAGTCAACCGTTGTCTGATAAAATACAAACCAAGGTCTTGCAATATGCTGTTTGCTTTGTAGTTGAATCTAAATGCAAACCATGTTTGCTTTCAGGCTTATGCTTTTCTGTCATGGTGTTAGATGAGGTTTGCACCAGTGATTCAAATATTGGAATCAAGCTTTTATCTCTTCATCGATTTGAGCCCATATTGTGCAGGTCCGACTTGGGTAACTCCTATGTTAAGTGGTCTATATTTTACAATAGAAAGATATAACAAGGTGATTCCAAGGTGAAACAATCCTTTAAATTATGGAATATAGAGTTTGACATTTTTCAGAGGGCTAGGGTTTTGGAGAGAGCGCATTTTTGAGTTCATATAATGGACTTGGCAAAATCGTAGGGGTGCATTTGAGAAAAAAAATTGGAAAAAATGACGAATTGTGCCAGTAAGCTGGGGAATAAAAATATATTGGCTCACCACAAACTTGGGACTAAATATCGGTTTTGGTCTATCGTGTTATATGTAAAAAAATCAGGAAAAATACATGAATAGGAAAACTGATCAAAATGTCGTAAATATTTCGGGTTTGGCTCAAAAAACTGGAGCGGAAAAATTGGATATGGATAAAAGTTTTAAAAATGAACAAATTGCAATGGCCATTAATAAGTAATGCTTTTTTAAGAAATGTTATTAAACTAGTATAATTAACTTAATTAATTTAGATGTCTCAACCCATGTTCCGAATTAAATTAAAGACAAACAAAGCAAAAGCAAATAAATGTAAGCATAGTAAAGAGTCACTGGAATGATCCAATTTTAATATGTAAAAAGGAACACTAAACATTAAAAGGTGGGTAGAATATGTTTTTGAGTTGTATAGTGGTAGGAATTGAATTTGAGATGTAGTATTGCTAATGTCAATTGCTAACCATTTAAGTTCAGCCTGATCTTTTAGGAGCGGTAGTTATTAGAATTATTGGCAAGGTTTAAGAACTTGGGGAGGTTAGGCTTGAGAGTGTTTTCTTTAGAAAATATATTTTCCCTGGAAAAATTGGATAAGTCAACTAATTAAATTTATTGGAGTTAAATTTACAAGGAAATGTAGTCTTCTTGGATAGTTTTTGGAGTTGCTTATATTTGGAGAGTACGTTTCTTGCAAGGTTTTGGGTAGCTTAGTGGGGAAGGTCCCTTACTAGTGATAGAAACGGAGCTCAAGGCGTTACACTGTAGCATCCTGCCCCCTGACCACATAGCTTTGAGAATTTATTTGGCTTGAAATTTTTTGATGATTTTGTTTCATGAATTTCGATTTGTGTTGATACTAAGGGTTATATTAAATCTAATTCATGGATTATTGATTGGATTCTACATGGTAAGGTGTAAGTTTATCATGTATTTATCTTGAATAAATTTAGTAAGTTACGTAATTAATTAGTTTTGAAAAGATTGAAGGGATAAAGATCAGAAAGTTGCAGAAATTTGTTGAATTTGCACATACATAAATATAAATTATCTAACAAATATATAGAAAGTGCCATAAATTTTGAATTTAATTGTACATACTATAGAGTTTTTTAAAACTTTATTTTTTTTTTAAAATAGTCAAAATAGAGCCTTTTTAACTTTTTCATGAAAAAGTGACCTTTTTTAGCTCATTTTTTGAAAATGTCGCCATTTTTATTGGTTAACAAAATTTTTTTGACTGTAAAAATTACGCCAAAAAAATGCCATTTGTTGACTATGCATCCACCAGATATCCAATAGTATGTCAAGGATAAACGATTTAGATTTGTTCTTTTTTTTGTTTATTTTTGGAATATTAACACAAGCGTACCGTTAATATTAAAAAATATTTACGAGATATACAAGAGAAATGAAATAATCACTGGAAAAAATTAACCACCAAAGAAGAGCAGTTACTTTCCCCTTTGCTAAACAATACGTTTCTTCATTAGTGTCCCGGTAACAATGTCGGAGATCGGCATTTAGTAGTGATAAGTTACCCCTAATCTCATGAAATAATTACCTTAACCTCTATGGAATATTGTATTCACCTCTGTTCCAAGCTATAACATTTGTTGAATCTCCTTCGATTATCCTTTCACCTTCCCATCTTGATAGCAATTTCAGTCCTAGCAAACCAAACCATGTGCTTCGGCTTCATTTGATATAGTGAAACCTCAAGGGATTGAATGTGAGCATAATATGTGGCCCATACTATTTCAAACCAGTCCGCCAAAATTAGCTGCACATGGATTACCAAAGCTGTTGCTGTCAAAGTTCAATTTGATCGAATTAGGAGGAGGTTGAGACCAAACAACAGCTCTTCGATTCGTGTTAGTGGTACCCAAAGTTGCCACTGCCAAAAGATTTAGAAAAATGTGGGTCTTTGGAGTTGAATTACTATCTTTACGAGAAGAAAACCAATCTGTTGCTACAGATATGATATTTGATTTTAGCATGGGTAGTTTTGTGCTGATCCCCTCCCTCGAATGCCATGCCCATGCCCTTCCATTTCTCGAATTACTATCTTTACGAGAAGAAAACCAATCTGTTGCTACAGATATGATATTTGATTTTAGCATGGATAGTTTTGTGCTGATCCCCTCCCTCAAATGCCCTTCCATTTCTCTCCTTCTACTCACCCCAAAGAACACTTATTCAAATAAATCGTCATAAGATAGTACCCACCCTCGGGATACCAGGAGACAAACCATTGAATAAGAAATGTCCTACAATTTTCTAGCACATGTAAGGATAGATTAATGTATTGACGAGTCCAACGGTGAAAGACATTAGTAATAGTGCATCCCGCTAGCTTTTTTAAATTACCCACTGTGGCTAATTTTTCTTGACAAAGAATCCATAAAAACAGTTGTACCTTTAATGTTACATGAAGTTTCTTGATGTTAAAGAGCGATGGATCCAATTGTCTATTTGGATCACAAGATAGCAGGTCATATGCTGATTTGACACAACTTCCCCCAGCTAGTAAGATCCCAAATCACTGCTTATAGGATTCTGTTTACATATCAAAGTTTTTATAAATCCCGTCATTTTATAGGTTTGATATGTTGAAGTTGAACACGATCTCACTGTTAATATGTAAGGCCCTCGTAATATGAAACATAAAATCAAAAAAATCACTTATGTTGATTCCAAATTTTCGAGTATAATGTTATTATTGAAATATCTTTCCACAAGATTTAATACGACTTTTTATTTCCATCGCACTCGAGTACGCCAAAAGACTACAAAAGATTATAGAGAATTATCGCATGAAACCCCAGGAAAAATCAATCGTTAAAAAAATAAGAGTTTAATAAAAGGCCCTCCAACTTTTTTACATTTCAAACGACACAAGAATTTTCTTAGTATGGGCCACAGCAAATTGGTGGTGTTAATGTGTTATTTTCACAATTTTGTGATTTTTTAGTTAATCAATCATATCATCATCATCTATGCTTTAACTCATTTAGTTAGGGTCGGTTATTTGAATCACGTTCCTCCATTTTTATCTATCTATCAAAGGCCAAAATTTGTCATATTTTTTTTTCTCAATACTTCTATCCACGTTTTTTTGGGTTTCACTTTTGTTTTTTTAGAGCCTTCCACTTGAACCATATTGTACATTCTAACTGGTATTATATTAAGTCTTAAGCTGCAAATGGCCAAATCACTTAAATATGTTTTCTTTTATCTTATCGTCTATTAAAGCCCCACCTAAATGCACTTGTATGTATTCTTTTCAAATTCTATCATTTTTTGTTTTGTCACTTATCCATCTCAACATCTTCATTTCAGCTATACTCATCCTATAAATAAGTTATTTCTTAACTACACAATATTCCATTTTATAAAGCATGGCTGGTCTTACATTCATCCAATAGAACTTTCCTTTCAGCCTCAAAGGAATGAGGCGTTCACATCAAACTCTAGATGCTTATCTCCACTTTTCCTAGTTTCAATTTTGCATTGACATTGCCTCTAGTTTCATTGATCAAAACTATGTCATCCGTAAACAACATACACTAGGGTACTTCATCTTGTATGTTCTTGGTTTTCTCGTCCATAACTACAATAAAGGGATATCTTGTTCATAATTAAAACAACGAGATATGAGCTTAGTGGTGATATGAGTGAGGATCTTAAACTTTCCCTTAACCTATCTCGAGCCATCGTAAAAGACGTGGGTGGGTAAGGTAGGCAGCCAACATGAAATTTTGCCAAATCTTATCATGAGTTAATTGATTAAAATTGTGATATTTCAAAATATTAGCAAAAAAAAAAGAAAAAGAGGCCAATTTTCATAAAAATGTTAAGAATAAACCTTTTCAATTTTGAAAAAAATATTTCAAAAAAATTTCTATATTTGTCTACGTGCAATTCAAAATTCATGGAGCTTTCTGTATCTTTATGCGTTTGATGTTTTTAATAACGAATTCGAAATTCGTGGAGCACCTTTGATGTTTTTAAGAAAATATTTAATGAGATAACTTATATTTATAGACATGTAGATTCAATTGCTTTAGAATTTTCTTTATCTTTATCCCTTTGATGTTTTAAAAAATTATTACCGGAATAACTTGTTAAATTTATTCAGGTAAAATTGAGGTGAATCCAATCAATAATTAATAGGTTGGATTCAACATGATCTTTGGTATCACATAAATTGAATTTAATAATTAAATTCATCAATATATTTTAAGCCAAAAAAGGTGTTCCAATTTCTATGACAAAATCCAATCAATAATCAATAGATTGGATTCAACATAACTTTTGGTGTCACACACAAATTGAAATAAACCAAAAACATTCATCAAGATATTTTCGGGCCAATAAAAGTATATTTTCGGGCCAATAAAAGTGTTCCAATGTCCAACTATAAAAAAAAAACAAAAAAATGAAGAGAGAGACAGAGTTCTAGAGCCTATCCAAGAAAAACACATTCTCGAGAAAAAATTACTCCAAAGAGATTACTATTCTCTATTTAATTTTTGCTAAGGAAAACACTACCTCAAAAAAGGTTGATTCCAAAGCCTATCTTCTCATGCTCCTAACCTTTTTATTAATTCCCGTGGCTCTACAAGATTGAGCTTGGGTTTAAGTGGTTAGTAGTTGACATTAGCAGCACTACATCTCAAGTTTGATTCCTACCATCAAATAACTTAAAAAAGACTCTACCATGTCTTATAATTTTAATGTTTCTTTTTATGTATTTAAATTTGGATCATTTTAATGCGTTTTATGCCTTACAGCTTCTTATTTTTGCCTTGTTGACATTTAAAAGAAATGAGATAATTATATTAGTTTAATAAAATTTTCATGGATGTATTA